GTTAATTGAAAACAGATGTGATCTGCTGATTCAAATTTACAAACTTTTTTGGCAATTAAATGAAACTTTTTAATTTGATTTTTTTTTCAAAATATCATAACCGAAACTGGAGTAGTTTCCTGCTGTTGCCAAAGAAACGAGACTTGTGCATAGCAAGGAACTTCATACCTCAGACATTCACAACTAACACCCATTCAACCTCCATTTTATTTTGTTTTTTTTTTCATTCATTTTTTCAGTGAGTTGTTTTTTTCTTGCATGGTGACCATATTCCTATAAAGTATTATTTATTTTCGATTGTTCATTTGGTTGTTTCTAGTTGTGTTTTAAGTTAAATGCATGCATACTTTTTTTTTTAGAATTGTATGATAACTAATGTATAATGAATGAGTTACAGCTGCAATGTCGAATGTTTTTCATTTTTAAGATAAAATACTAATGCCTTGTATGTGATCTTTGTATACATGCACTCAAATTCCTAAAAAAAAAATGCTTTGTTACTTTGAAATGTACCCGGGCCACTATTGCTTCCCTTGCAATTAAGATAATTATTAGCTCATAGAAATTAGTGCACTCTCATTGATTGCTATCTAAGGACACTATTATGCATGTGATTTAATTAAACTCAAACTGCTTATGTCCTATTAATAAAATATCACATAAGAGAAAAACAGTGTCCCATAGTTTTGAGATTCGAGCCCCCCTCCCCCTCCTCTAACTTCTCTTGATGTTTTTTCCCCAACCTTTACTTAACTTTACTTAACTTTGTTCCCCCTCCAAATTGTTGCCTTGCATTGGCCTCCCCCCCCCCCCCCCCCCCCCCCTTGACCTGTCCTGCCCTGCCCTCGCCCCAGGGCTGTGTACAAGGACCGTTCTGCTGCATTTAACTAGTGTCACCCTTCTCCCACACAGGTGAATCAGGTGCAGAGGAGTGGTCCCAGTGGAGCTCATGCTCTGTATCTTGCGGTCAGGGGTCGCAGGTGCGAACAAGAACGTGTGTGACACCGTACGGGACGCACTGCACCGGCCCTTTAAGGGAGTCGAGGGTTTGCAATAACACTGCCCCCTGCCCAGGTAGTGTTAGCCCGCAGATTGTATGAATATGAATATGAATGTCATTCACCACCTTGATGCTTTATTGGGTGAGGGGAAATGTAACTTCACTTAACATGGATTTGATGGATGTTTAATTGGTATTATTATTTATTATTCGATCATTAATCTGATTCCTCTTCCTTCTAGTTGTTGTTTCTTGTTTGAAATGCACTTTTTTTTCGTAAACACGTGCCTTTGTTTGGTTTTCCATTTAATTTCAAACGTTGACGTCATTTTCATTGCCCTCATCACAATGGATTGGTGTTTTTTTGTTTTGCTTTTTGCATGGAAGTTGTGCATCGACTGGCAACCGACAACGATGTGTCACGGCGCATACAACGCCATCGTAGGTCAGCCGTGCGGCAACGCGCGGGTCACGTGACTCATGCTGCGAGGCACGCTCCGTGACATGTCTCACTCAATGTGTACAGGCATGTTCTGTGTGCGTCACGTCCATCGCCCACCCAGGCACACTTGGCTAGCCGGACGCCCCAACAACACACCGCCACTAGCTCGTACAACCGGTGGTTACCGGTAGTAAACACGGGTTCTGTTTTTCCCTGTTGTCAACCAGGGGATTACAGGACAGAAGCAGACATTAATCTTAATCACATGTTTACTTTGAGAAATTGGCTGTACCTTGGTTGTACCTGCAGTCAGACTGAAGCTTGTGGTGGAGTAGGCGTCCTTCCTGACGTATGTAAAGCCCCCCTTTGCCATTAAAGAGAGTGCTTCTGTGATTGCATCACATTGGGAAAATATTAACCTCACCCCCTTACAGCTGGTCAAAAATCTTGCGGGAGGCACTGACATTTTAGACGTACTTCATATCGAAATGGCAAGAAGCAAGTGGGGAGTTGGCAGTTTTCAAAAGGGGTCAGCATTTTACCACGCTTGGACAGTATTAGCAGGAAACCGAATAGGTAATTTTAAAGAACACTTTCCTAAAAATGATTTGCTCTCAGTGCCAATATTATGTTGCTCAGGGAGCAAGTTGAATCTTTCAAAAAAATGTTCCCCATCATCCAGCAGACAAACACGTGTGCTGCCGTATTTCAGATATTTATTCATTCACATACGGGTTTGTTATTTTTAATTGATAGCCTAAAGGTACTGTGCTAGTCGAGTTAATTATTGTTGGTTGTTGTTGCTGTTAATATGTCTTCAGGTCTGCACACATGTTGCCAGAGACATTTAAGTCACATTTATTCATGTAAAACCAAAATTATACCATGTGAAATAGCTTGCGATTCGCTTAAATGGGTTTCAGGTGTGTATCACTGCATTGCAAGCTAAACTGTGCTTTTTCTGACGTTCCCTGAACTCTCACAAACCAAATATTGTGATTAGTATGTCAAAATACTTATCAGGAAAAATATGGTATCAACTCACAATAGCTGAATATTCTTGTTCTTCTTGTTATATATATATATATATATATATATATATATATATATATATATATATATATATATATATAGCTATCTATCAATTTAAATCTATTTAGGGAGTGCAATGACTTAAAAAGGAAAATACTAACTTTCCTATGACTACCAAACAGCCATCACACCCCTCGTCGCCTCCCTTTTATTGTTGCCAACCGAGGTAAACAAATCACACTTGGATCGGCACCAGCTGGTGAAGCAATTGCAGTTGGTTGTTAATATTCCCACAGGAACCTGGTCAAATTAATAAATGAACATCATCAATAAGCTAGTGTGAATAAGACTTAATTGTGGAAGACCTAAACAGATCACAATGTGCTGCAGTTTGAAGTGTGGATGTATCATTCGGATTAGGAGGGAGTAAATGCCTCTTTAAATCGTTTTTACAATGTTGTTATTTTAATAATTTCTTTTTAATTCTACGATGATTTTTAGAGCATTGTTTGCAGATGGACAATGTTTAGGTTTTTACCTAATATTGGCATTATTTTAGCCATGTCCGCTGAGCATTAATAGTATAAGTATACTGCTAAACTACAAGAATGTTAATTATAAAAGAGATCGTTGCTGTTGTTTTTTTTAAAGAAGGATATTAATGATAAATGGATTTTCTTTGTCAAGGGCTTTTATTCCGTTTTCCTTCATTTCCGAATGACACAGACCACCACTGGTTTTAATAGGCAGGGGATGGCATTACTACATTTATCCAATCCAAAGATTTGATTTATGATGTGTATTTTTTATAATTCATATTTGTAGCAGTCATCTAACAGTAATCTTTCATAAACGTTTCAACTTTAAACTTTCTTTATTTTTGTTGACAGCAATAAGGGTCAATTGCTAAGCATTTATGTGTGCATTTTCTTTTAAAGGTCATACTAAGTAACCAACCCACTGAGAAAATCGGCCTCAGTAAATGGTACGATACAAGTGGCATTTTTGGATTGAGTAAACATTTAATTTTGTTTCATTATCCGAAAGCCTAGTAAAACAAAAACAAAAGAAGAAACAATTGCCCGCAAGAAACATATCGCTGAGACTAAAATCTAGTTGCCACACATTCATGATCATCACCGTTGGCTTTCAAGAGCAACTTTGACTTGAAGGCCAACTCAAGTAATAAATATTTATAACAATATCCTGTAGGCCAAATACATCTTTTGTTTTCCTTTGGCAAACTTAGCTCACTGTCACATGGAGTACTGAGCATTAATAATTCAAAAGTCTTTGTCTCGGGTAACTTGTCATGCACTGTGTTATACTTGCCTTCCAACCCGGTAAGTATAGTACCTACCAACGTTGTAGGTAGATATATTTATACTTCAACGCTGCCATTGCTCTGAGGTATTCGAAGCATCTCACGCCAACATTCAGAGTGTCGTTGCTCAAACCACATGACCCATTTCCTCTCATGCTTGTTTTTTTTCTCCTCAATAGTGGCCCCCTATAATAAGTGTGGCCCCCTGTATAGCGGATGAGCTTGGCAGTAAGTTTAGACACACGAGGCCCCTGACTCCTGTCCTGTTGTTTCGCAGTACACGGTGTGTGGGAGGAATGGTCGCCCTGGAGCTTGTGTTCGTTCACGTGCGGTCGAGGCCACCGCACCCGAACTAGGATGTGCGCTCCTCCGTTACACGGAGGACGAGCGTGTGACGGACCCGAGACTCAGAGCAAGCTCTGTAACATCGCTCTGTGCCCAGGTAAACCCAACATGGCCGCCCGTTCCCAAACTCCTTCAGAATAAGATGTTGATGTTGAAGCTGGAAAATGGAGGAAGGAAATAGAGAAGTAGGGAGAGTGAAATGTATGTGGGGAATATTAACATATTAGAATAATCCCATGGAAAACACTTCTAAAAAGTTCCTAGTTTGGGAGCAGCTTATTTTCTTTCATCGTTGGATCTATTCAGAAGATTTTGAAAGAGTGGAAGACATTTTTGAATGGAGGTCTTGTGTTATATAGGAAGCACAGTATGGCGCCCTCCAAATATAATACACTGGGTTTATGAAACCCGAGAGAGATTCAATGCAGTCATTTTGACTTCTAAAATACATGCTCTCAATTCCTTGCGAGCGATGAACAGATTTGTAGTGATTATTTTTGCAACTCTAAGCTTTAATTGTGGTAGCACAGAGACTTGAATGCATGTGATTTAGCAGTTCCTGTTTATTTAATACAATTAACACTTATCTAACTTTTTTTCCTATTAATTTCGCTTCTATTGAAATCTTAAAATATACATAGAAATGCATTTTCTTCAAAGCTCATTATGTCTTGTTTTTGGGCATAAAAACCACGGAAGAAGACTTCCAACCAACATAATCTTAACTACACATCCTCGGTGGAAAAGCACTTCTTCAAATACACGTGTGAACCTCCCTGCATCCATTGATATGTATTGTATCCATTATAAAAAAATATATACAAAAAAGCCACCACGCTATTTATTTTCCTATTTGTGGTCCTGGCTAGCTCAACTGGCAGAGCACGGCATTAAAGTTGCCAAGGTTAGGGGTCCGATTCCCACCGGGACCGCCCATGCTAAAAAATGTATGCACTCACGGTATTTGTGAGACACTTTGGATAAAAGCGCCCACCAAAATGGCGAATACAGCCACAGTTCACAAGATGCAGTTCACAGCGCATCAGAGAGCAGTACTTTGAATATCTCCTTCCCATGTCTGCCTGTCCTCTTTCCCCCCCCTTCCTCCTCCTCCTCCTCCTCCTCCTCCTCTCTCCGCTTGGGACAATGCCTTGCCTGGTTCTGGGTGGGCGCCTCAGTGGACGGACAGTGGCAGGAGTGGAGCACTTGGAGCGATTGCTCGGTGACCTGTGCCAATGGCACTCAGCAGAGGACCAGGCAGTGCTCCGCCGCCGCCCACGGGGGATCCGAGTGTCGAGGTCACTGGGCAGAAAGCAGGGAGTGCTATAATCCTGATTGCACAGGTAAAAATATATATAACAAATATAATAACTACTACAACAACAACAACAACAAAAAATAACATCACAAAATAATCCTGAGCCTTTTGCACACACTTCTAAGCGTCGGTCACTTTTGATGTCTGGGCGGGAAATTACAAATCCCCCCAAAGAGGTAGAAAGGGTGTTAGTAGGCCATTATTCTGCCAGTGCTGCGGCACGATGACCTCACACGTTGAGGATTCACTCTTTTATACTCATTATCCCGACGTGCCATTCACCTTGAGCTAGCTTTGTAGGGAAACGTAAAGTTAAAGCCTGTGCACTATGAAATTGATTTGTAAAACCCCAGTTAAATTCACACTAATCATATAATTCCAATGTCAACCATATAATTCACAGTGAGCTGTCCAAACTGACTGTTAGCACCATGGATGTATTACATACTAAGATGTCAGCTTAGCAGCACCCTGCAGCCTTTTGAAATGTTTAATATGACGCAGTGCCCCGGCTATAGCGTGATATCCTAATACACACTAATAGATGTGGGATGTTGCATTAGGGTCTCTGTATTCCAGGAGCATCACCACCCAAGAGCAGAGTAATACAGTCTGTGTTTAAAGCGGATAGGGTGGAATTGGAGGGAAAACAAACACGCCATTCGACCAATCCACTCGGATCGCATTATTGCTGAACATTTATTTTTTTTACAAGCGGTGATATTGTTTGATGTGTGAATGGGGGAGATCAGTCACCACCGTTCAGTGGCTGGATTTCACCATTCACACATAAAAGGATGTTGATGGTGTTCAGCGTAGAGCGAAGGCACGCAGTCATTTCACGGAGGATGGGAAACACAAAATGAGCTGGTCACGAGTCTTCCCAGACTTCCTGCTCGCTTACAAAAAAATGATTTTCTCCTATTGATATGCAGTGCAAGACTTTTCATTTGAGTAGAAATATACCAAATTGTGTTTCTTATCACAGGCATAAGGCATGCATGGTGTTTGTTCACTTGTAGTGACTGTATGTCCTCTGCTAGTGATTGGTCAATGGACCAGCCACAGAATTAGCAAATAGCAGGGAAATTAGCTTCCTCAATATGATATTCTCAAGATCATCAGGATTTTATCATCGTTTGTATAGTGTTATTTTTATAATATTATTATATCATTCAGTTGTCAATATCAAGTGTGGCATTTTGTTTTATTTTTTATTTTTTGTTCAAATTTATTTTCCTATAAATTAGCTAATTTATAGGAAAATAGCTAAACTAAAGTTACTTCCTCCAATAAAGAGGGAGAGTTTTTAATTTGAAATATAAAAAAATGGACCATCCACAGGAGTTTGTTCAAATGTCCTCCAAACAGTTTTTAACCAAGTGGTCACATCATTTTTCATTCATTTCTATATTTTCTTTGTCCAAGTGGAACCGCCACTGACAGAGGTGAGCTGTAGGACATAGGAATGCCCTGTATGTGTGGATGAGGGCTAATTGGAGGTCGCTCTATGTTTCATGCTTACAAGGGTGTCATAACATTTTTTTTCTGGCAAGGGCATTTGATTTACTACTTTGCTTAGGGCTAGCATCTGTTTTTTAAATATATTTTCTAATATCTAATTGTTAAAAGTGCAGTAAAAGCCACCCCCTTGGTCCTGACCTGAGCATAATTGCATTTCATTATTTGCAAATGAATGTGAACAATAATTACACACAAAGCCAAGATTTCTTATTCATTAAAAAAGACACAATTCTTATTTATATATATATATATATATATATATATATATATATATATATATTCTTTAATGCAAAACAATCGGCTAAATGCCAACAGGCTCTTATATCGTCCCCGGTGCTCGAAAACGTGTCAGAAAATTATATCCATTTAGCATTTCATGACAAATGAGCAGATTTTCTCATGTCCTCAACATAATTGCTAACTGCTTCCCCGGGAGAGGCGAAAGAAGGAAGAAATTGTAGATGGCGTTGTGTCTCAGGGGTCACAAGGCATTTTATTGAAAGGCAAGACGAAGTAAATTAGATTCCACACACAGCCATATGTCATTTCTTTTACAGATACTCAATGAATAATGATGATACTATGGGTGGATTTTGCAATATCTCTCTCTGTCTCTCTCTCTCTCTCTCTCTCTCTCTCTCTCTTTCGCTCTCTCTCTATCCCTCCCACCGTTGCATGGCCTCCCCTTAGCCAATGGTCAGTGGAATCCGTGGGGCCCCTGGAGTGGCTGTTCCAAGTCGTGTGATGGCGGCTGGCAGCGAAGGGCCCGCGTGTGCCAGGGGGCCGCCGCCACGGGCCAGCAGTGCGACGGCTCGGGAGAGGAGGTCCGCAAGTGCAGCGAGCAACGCTGCCCAGGTAACTGAAGCATCGCTTGGTCTGAAGCCCCTGCGATTGCACTCCCCGAGGGATTTGGATCTGAGCGGAGGAGGAGGAGGAGGAGGAGGAGGAGGAGGAGGAGGAGGAGGAGAGGAAAGCAATTATCACAGCATGGTGTAGAGATAGTAATTGAGTCGCAGGATTATTTTTATTTTATTCGTTTTCTACGAAGGTTTAGAGATCAGGGGAGAAAGATGAAATCCTTACAAGGGGGGGGGGGGGGGGGGGGGGGGGGGGGGGGGTTTCGTGACTGAAAACGGATCCAAGTAATTATCCTCAGGGAGCCGGATGGTCTAGTAGTGGTTAGGCGGGTGGTAAAGACCCCGCCATTGACCTAATCCTTGAGAAAGACACCCCAACTCCTAGCTTCTCATTAAAGAATCTAAAACCATCTCGATCCCTTCACCCCCCCCTGCCACACATCCCCTGCAGCTTGGGGAATCAAACTGGAGATCCCCATCCTTCGTGGATGAATTCACGATGAGGTCGTGTGATATCACATGATACCCTGCAGTGATCCACACATCCTGACAGTGTAACGTAGAGCAACTGTTGCATCATGGGAGTAATGCTACGTCTGAACTGCGGGGCAAACAGGAGAAGTTTGCTTTCAGGGCCTTCCGCCAGCCTATAGGAAGTCAGGTGCCGTAGTATAAAGAGCATCAAAGTACACTTAGGGGGGCAACAGTTGCGTTGTTTAGGCAACACAACTACTTGGTTAGGCTTAGGCAACACAACACGTTAGGCAGAAAGCTCTTTCTGGCAGAAAGCTGAAGGCAGAGCATTTACATGTACTGCTCCTGTCACACCTGACACCGGTGTCTGTGTGTGTGTGTGTGTACGTGTGTACGTGTGTGTGTGTTTGTGTACGTGTACTTCTCAGCGCCGTATGAGATCTGCCCTGAGGACTATGCAGTGTCCATGGTGTGGAGACGAACCCCTTCAGGGGAACTGGCCTTCAACAGATGCCCCCCCAACGCCACTGGTAAGAAGGAGACGGTCTCGCCCGATGAAGTGTTTTTACCATAGAGCTAGAGCTGCTTTTAAAAAATAAGTAATTGTGTGTTTGTGTGTGTGTGTGTGTGTGTCTATCATGTTGCTAATGGCTCTTTTTCTTGGGAACATTTTTTCAGAACAGTTAAACCCATATACAGTATATGCAAAGGCTGTATTCAAAGAGCATTCCTATAGCATATAGTAGGGCCGGGTTTTCAGGGAATACATTAACGGCTGATTTGAATTAGCTCAAAGCTAACAGTGGTGGAATTACTTTAATTGTGCCATAGCTCCTTCTCAAATATGACAAAATAAAGCCATTTGTTTGCCGTCTACATCCACTAATTATATGCATCCAATGTATGTTCTGGTAAAATCACCCGATGGGATTTCCACCCCCCCCCCCCTCATCGTATAACAACAACACATATAAATTAGATTTGTTTGTTTATTTTTTTTCCATTTAAAGTACCATTCGAGTGATTCATTCATAATGTATATTTTATCCTCCGAGGTTCAACGTTATTCATCTACTTATCTCTCGAGCTCCTCTACTTATTTATTTTGGTAGGGATTCAGTGTAAGAGGGAAAGTGGAAGGAAAAAGCTTCGTCTCAGAAAAATAAGCTTTCTTTTTCATTCTATTACTTCTGTCATGCTTCCCAGGCTTTGAAAGCAGTCCGTGTGTGTGTGTGTGTGTGTGTGTGTGTGCGTGTGCGTGTGTGCGTGTGTGTGTGTTCCTGGGATTGTAACCTGCTGTAGCGTTCACCACCACCTCTCTGTGTCTCTGTGTTTGGCGCTACCTATGCCACACAGACACAGACACACACAGACACACGCACACACAAACTGGCTTCCTCCCATTCACAGTGACCTTTTAGGTCCGTCAGAGTCAATAAATACTATCTGTGAATAAATGTCTCACCCCTGGGTGGGATCTCGACAACCAGACCTTTATTTATACCTGTCCCTGTTCTGTAAAAAATAAAATAATGATACCTCTCTATGCGATCTGACGAAACTATCTCTGGTTTCATCCCTCCCAGGTGAACGGGTGTAGATGTAGGTGTGGGTGGTGGGTGGTTTGTGGTGGTTGTGGGTGTTGGGGGAGATGGAGATAACTTCCCTACCCCCTCGCATACCCTCTGGGTAGTGTAGTCTGGTACGGTTGCATGGTTGCTTCCCCACCACCACCACCACCACCACCACCACCACCACC